TAGTGATAAAACATGGGGAGGTAAGGAAAAAAGGAAGGTGAAGTAGGGAGATGCAGAGGAGGTAAACCCTCATCTTTCTGTAGCAAGTCAGAAGACACCATCTAAGAAAGCTGTAAAAACACAAAGACTAATGAGCAAGTTAAAAGACAGTTGAGGCATCCCAAAGGGGCTAGAAACAAGTATTTTTAAAGTTTTGCCTCTAAAGAGTAAACCAATGGGTTGTAAAGATGGAGCAGCAAACTCTTCATTTTAAGCCCTTCTGTTTGATGATTTAACCACATGCATATCTTGCTTTGATAGTATAAAGTAAAATACAAAATACAGTTCAACTTCCCAGGCAGTCCAGTGATTAAGACATCCCCTTCTGGTGCAGGGAATGCAGGTTCAATCCCTGGTAGGGTAGCTAAGATCCCATTTGACTCTTGGCAAAAAATCAAAATGTAAATAATATTGTAACAAATTCAATAAAGACTTTAAAAATGGTCCACATCAAAAAAGTCTTTAAAAAATGCAATGCCAAATGAAAAGAAAATAGATCAGATTAAAATTCATAAATCAGAATAATTTGAAGTACTGATTTGATTACAAAATATTGTTTAATTTACTAAAGATTCAGTGATGGGCATCTTTAAGCAATGTGGGTGCCATTTATATTTCATTGTTAGTCCTGAGCTGCTTGATGAAGATGGTCTTCAAGCTGAAGTGATAGAAGTAGGCTATTAAAGATTCATCTTAAAGTGTGTCTGAAATTAAAATGTAAATCATTTGGTTAAATGAGTTTCTTAAAAAATTCAGTTCATGAATAGCTTATTTGTAAAGGGAAGGCAGTTAAAAATGCTGAGATTATGTTTGAGTCTATTATTATAGCAGTTTCACAGATCTAGAACCCAAGTATCTGACCCCTTAATCTATCATGGAAAACACACCAGAATCAGAGTATAAGTGATGAAATTATTTATTTATTTGACTGCATCAGGTCTTAGTTGCCGCTCTGCTTACTTGCCCTGCCATGTGTGGGATCTTAGTTCCCCAGCCAGGGATTGAACCTGCATCCCCTGCATTGGAAGGAGGATTCTCAACCACTGGACCACCAGAGAAAATTCTTTTTCACCCTTCGACAAAATTCTTGAGACAAAACCTCCATGTCTCAGTATTTTACGAAGACAGCTTCTCATCTCCCTTTAGTTAGATATATTCATAGATATTGATATTAATATAGACACACAATCCTAAATTTGGAGAGAGGTTAGCTTTCCTGGTGGCTCAGACAGTAAAGAATCTGCCTGCAATGCAGGAGACCCTGGTTCAATTCCGGGGTCGGGAGGATCTCCTGGAGAAGGGATAGGCTCCCCACTCCAGTATTCTTGTGCTTCCCTTGTGGCTCAGCTGGTAAAGAATCTGCCTGCAGTGTGGGAGACCTGGGTTCATTCCCTGGGTTGGGAAGATCCCTGGAGAAGGGAAAGGCTACCCATTTCAGTATCCTGGCCTGGAGAATTCCATGGACTATACAGACCATTGAGTCGCAAAGAGTCGACTGAGCGACTTTCCCATATATTTTTTGATCCAGAAATCTCACTTCTGGGAATTTATCTGACAGAAATAAAAGTGCAGCAATTCATTATAGAATTTTAGTTGCAGTTTCTTCCAAACAAACAGCAAAACAAACAAAACAACTCCTAGAAATCTAATCAATCTGAGCATCAGTAGAGAAAATTATGATACACCCTTGAAAATAAAGTGAAAGTCACTCAGGCGTGTCTGACTCTTTGCCACCCCATGTACTATATAGTACATGGAATTCTCCAGGCCAGAATACTGGAGTGGGTAACCTTTCCCTTCTCCAGGGGATCTTCCCAATCCAGGGATGGAACCCATGTCTCCTGCATTGCAGTCAGATTCTTTGCCAGCTGAGCTACTGGGTAAGCCCGTGATACATCCATACCGGGAAGAAAAACAAATCCATGTGTGGTTACTTAGAAAAAATTATCCACAATATACTGAGTCAAATATACAGTTTCGGAAAATATTTATATTATGATACAACTTTTAAAAATATATGTATATATTCTTGCACAAGCAAAATAAAAATATAGAAAGATAATATTGCCAGAAAAGAGGGATAGAAGAAGAATTTTGCCTTATATTCTTCTGAGTTATTTGAATTGTTTTTATTTTAAAATGAGTAATTTTAATATATGGAAAAGTACAGAAACTGTAACAGACACCTGTCTACCCATCACTTAGGCATATCAAATATCAATATTTTGACATATTTGCTCCAGCTCTCTTTTTACAAAAGGAATAAAGTGTCATAGATAGAACTGAAGCCATTTCACCCACTCTTAGTTCCCACTCTTCCTCCCACTGTCCCCAGAGGTAACCATTATCTTAATGTGGGAAGGAATCTTCCCTATGCATGACTTTTTTTCCTGTGCCCATCCCCTGCCAGCTCTGTCTGTTTTTAATCAGTATATATGTTTCTATTAATCATGCTTTTGCCTTAGAGAGCTTCAGTTCATCAGTGTTAGGATATCTGTGAATGATTTTATAATTTACTTGTGCAAAGATGCATTCATAAACAATCAAGGCTTCTTTTTGTGTGTATAAGTTAAAATAAATGGCATCATTTTTCTGTCATTGCCTGCTACTTGCTTTTTATATTCAGCATTCCTTTCCAGCATTATCCATGTTGATGTAGTTAATTTATTTTAATTGCCTATAATGTTCTAATATACAACCTTACCAACATTTATTTGTTCTGTCATTGATGGAGATGAATGATGTCATGCATATTATTTATATCTTCCTTTTTAAGTATTTTAATTGAAGTATAGTTAATTTACAAAGTTGTGTTAGTTCCAGATGTACAGCAAATGATTCAGTATTTATATATATTTACTTGGGGTTTCCCAGGTGGCTCAGTGGTAAAGAATCTGCTTGCCAATGCAGGAGATGTGGGTTCAGTTCCTGGGTCTGGGAGATCCCCTGGAGAAGGAAATGGCAACCCACTCCAGTCTTCTTGCCTGGGAAATCTCATAGACAGAGGAGCCTGGCAGGCTGCAGTCCTTGGGGTCCCAAAAGAGTCAGACAGGGTTGAGCAACGGAGCATGCATGTGTGTGTGTGTGTGTGTATATATATATCCTTTTTCAGATTATTTTCCATTATAGATAACTACAAGATATTGAATGTAGTTCCCTGTGCTATACAGTAGGTCCTTGTTTATATATTTTATATAGAGTAGTATGTATAGGTTAAGCCTAAACTCCTAGTTTATCCTACCCTTTTCTGCTTTGGTCACCATAAGTTTTGTGTCTATGAGTCTATACCTGTTTTATAAATAACTTCATTTCTCTTTTCCATATAAAAAGGATATTGTGTGATATATATATACATATGATATGATATATACATATTCATCTGTCTGCCTAATTTCACTTAATACAGTAATATCTTTATGCATGAGATTATGTGCATGTTCTTATGTGCATGTTCCAGGGTCCTCTCTAAGTTTATAGCTAAAAGTGGAATTGAAGAACCATAGAGCCTTTCTATTGGACTGATCAACTTTTTTTTAAATTCCTCACCTTTTTATCCCTCGACTGCTTTAGTGTTATAGATTCTTTTCTTATTGATTTAGTAATTATCCTTAAATTTTTAACATGCAGGTTTGACTCTAAAATACTAATAATAATCAAAAGGTCTGACTTCATCTTGAACAATAGAAGCATCTTAGAACTCATGGACTTGAATTACTGTGCTTCCTATCTTCCTGTCATGGCTGTGAAATATTTCAGCTTCACATTCTTTTTAAATCTTTTAACTTCAAATTGGTCTTTGCTCTTGTTCTCACAGTTAATGTTTATTTAGATTTATCCAGATGTTTCCTAATGTCTTTGTTTTTCTATGTTCCATATATATCCTAGTCCTTTCATGATCAATATACCTATTCCTACAATAGTGCTCATTTCATATACTAGCAAGGTAATACTCAAAATCCTTCAAGCTAGGCTTCAACAATACATGAACCAAGAACTTTCGATATACAGCTGGATTTAGAAAAGGTAGAGGAATCAAAGATCAAATTGCCAACATACTAAAAGCAAGGGAATTCCAGAAAAACATCTACTTCTGCTTCATTCACTAAGCCAAAGCCTTTGACTGGGTGGGTCAGAACAAACTGTGAAAAGTTCTTAAAGAGACAGGAATACCAGGTCACCTTACCTGCCTCCTGAGAAACCTGTATGTAGATCAAGAAGTGACAGTTAGAACTGAACAACAGACTGGTTCAAAATTGGGAAAGGAGTTCATCAAGGCTATATATTGTCACCCTCCATATTTAACTTATGTGCAGAGTACATCATGTGAAATGCCAGGCTGGATGAATCACAAGCTGGAATCAAGATTGCTGGGAGAAATATCATCAACCTAAGATATGCAGAGGATACTATCTAATGGCAGAAAGTGAAGAGGAACTTAAAAGCCTCTTGATGAAGGTTAAAGAGGAGAGTCAAAAAGCTGACTTGAAACTCAACATTCAAAAAACTAACATCATGACATCTGGCATCATCACTTCATGGCAAATAGGTGGGGGAAAAGTGGAAACAATGACATATTTCATTTTCTTGGGCTCCATAATCACTCCCTGATAGCTCAGTTGGTAAAAGCCTAATGATATCCACAAACAGTGCAGGAGACCCCAGTTCGATTCCTGGGTCAGGAAGATTCCCTGGAGATGGGCTACCCACTCCAGTATTCTTGGGTTTCCCCTGTGGCTCAGCTGGTAAAGAATCCACCTGGAATGTGGGAGACTTGTGTTCAATCCCTGGATTGGGAAGATCCCCTGGAGAATAGAAAGGCTACCCACTCCAGTATTCTTTCCTGGAGAATTCCATGGACAGAGGAGCCTTGTGGGCTATAGTCCATGGGGTCACAAAAGAGTCAGACATGACTGAATGACTAACACTTTCACTTTCTTTTTTTTCCCCACTATATCTCTCAGTTTTATAGAAATGCAGAAACCAATACCCCTACAATTGTGTCATGTTTTGCCTAATGACATTTTTATATCTGTTGAAATAGGAAAGGGAGAATGAAAACAAAGAGCTCCAGTTCTGAAAAGAAGATCAAAGTAATATGCCAGAAAGGCATGTAATCCACTTAGCTACTCCTGTGTATTAGTATTTACATGTATATATATACACATATAAATAAATATACACACACACATCTATGGGTATAAATATTTATGTTTATATGATTATGTTTCCTATGTGTATTTGTGTGAGGAGCATGAATATAATGAAAGACTATTCATTCCCACACTCATTTTTCTAATACCATCCCAGGTGGCACTAGTAGTAAAAACCTGTCTGTCAATGCAAGAGATGTAAAAGATGAGGGTTCAGTCCCTGGCATGACAAACCCACTCCAGTATTCTTGCTTGGAGACTCCCATGGACAGAGGAGCTTGGCAGGCTACAGTCCATAGGGTCTCAAAGAGTTGGACATGACTGAGCAACTAACACTTTCACTTTTTTATGCTCTAGATTCATATCATACATTCTGCTTAGGTCTCTTGCATTATGTACTGATGGGCTGTTTCTTTAAATAACCTGAAGTCCACAATTTATTTAGATTTCCTTAGTTTTTACCTGATGTCCCTTTTCTGTTTCAGGAGTCCATGCTGGATGCTACACTACATTCAGATGTCAGATTCCTCTGGGCTGGACATTTTCTCAGACTTCCTTTATTTTTGTTGATTTTGAAAATTTTGAGGTGTACTGGCCATGCATTTAGTACAATGTACCACTGTTGGGATTTTTTCTGGTGTTTTTCTCATCATTAATGTGAGGTTATAAGTTTTGGGGAAGAATACAGAAAAAGAGATGAAAGAAGATCCACAGACAAAAAGCACCGTTCTCATCACATACCATCAACATGATTTATCACAGTCAATGTTAGCCTCGGGCACTTGACTGAGGGGATGTTTGTCAAATTCCTCCACTGAAAAGCTGCTATTTTTTTACAGTTAATTTTTATTTGAGTATAGTTGCTTTACAATATTGTGTTAGTTTCTACCACACAACAAATTGAATCAGCTGTGTGTGTACGTATGTCCCCTCTTTTTTGAATTTCCTTCCCATTTAGGTCCCCACAGAGTATTGAGTAGAATTCCCTGTCCTATACAGTAGGTTCTCATTAGTTATCTATTTTATACTAGTGTCAATAGTGTATATACTTGTCAATCCCAATCTCCCAGTTCATCCCACCTCCCTCCCCTGTTTGGTATTCATACCTTTGTTCTCTATGTCTGTGTTTCTATTTCTGTTTTGCAAATAAGATAATCTATACCATTTTTGCAAAACTACTCTTTTCTCCTTTTTCCCCACTGCACTCTTTGGAAGGCAGTCACTGTGCGTAGTCCACACTTAAGCAATGAGGAATTATGCTCCACCTTCTTGAGGGTGAAGTAGTTATAAAAATCACTGAAGTCCTTCTGCAGAGAGGATCTGTCTTTTCTCACTGTCTGTTTATCTATCATTCATGTCAGTATGGACTCATAGATACTTACTTTACATGTTAGGTTATAATCCAGTACTACTTTATTTTCTTGCTTAAATTATTGCAGCTTTGGCCATTGGGAGCTGTTTCAGTTGACTCCTGTGCTGTTGACATTCCCATCATTGGTGCCTTTTTGGCACTTTCTTTTTTTTTCACTTTTTGTTGGAGTGTAGTTTTTTGCAATGTTGTATTGGTTTCTGAAAGTGAAAGTGTTCATCTCAGTTGTGTCCGACTCTTTGTGACCCCGTGGACTGTAGCCCACCAGCCCATTCCATGGCTCCTCTGTCCACGGAATTCTCCAGGCAAGAATAATGGAGTGGGTTACCATTTCCTTCTCCAGGGGATCCTCCTAACCCAGGGACTGAACCCTGGTCTCCTGCATTGCAGGCAGACTCTTTACTGAATGAGCTACCAGGGAAGACCTGTATTGGTTTTTGCTGTATAGCAAAGTAACTCAGCCACACATATAATGTATCTACTCTTCCTTGAATTCCTTCCCGTTTAGGTCACCACAGAGCACTGTGCTATACAGTAGGTTCTCATTAGTTATCTATTTTATACATAGTAATGCATATATATCAATCCCAATCTCTGATCCATCCCACCATCCCCCTCCCCAGCACTTTCTTACTTTCTGGCACTGTTAGATACTCCAGGCTCACCGTGTACATTTCTTGTTCCAGTTCTATAATCAGGATTTCTCCAAGGCTCCTCCGTTCCTTTTATCGAAGAATGGTAGAGAAATAAAGATCTGAGCATTAGGTGTGCTCATTGCTGCTGGAGTGTTTATTTCTAGGGCTTCTCAGTTAACAGAGCCAGAAATGCCATAGGTGCATAATAACTTACCCTGTATATTTATTTGTATCTACAGGTCTATCTGTTTATACATCTGTACTTGTATTAAGCTAAATAGGAGTTCACACTGATGTCTCCAATTCTAATCTATTATCATGTAGATCATTCTAGTTTTCTCTCTTTGTCTGTAATGTTCCACTTCCAATGGAGAGAAACCTGGCTCCCACCTTCTGCCATCCATTTACTTAATTGTCTAATTCCAGGATCCATGTATAGTGGTTTCAGTTTATAGGCTTTTATTGAAGAAAGTTGAAGCCAATTACTCATTCCTAAGTGCCATTATGGACCGCCCATAAGGATGGCAATAGGCATCTATCTGCTATTATTAGTGCCATTTGGAGAGTGTTAGGAAAATTAAAATAATCATCAAATATTTGTCTTCCATGTAAATGGATTCTATTCGATTCTACAAACATTTGCAAAGAGCATCCCATATTATTGACAGGTACAGATGAAGGTGTGGGGGGTAATGAAGGGACTCTTCAGAAGAAAACACATTTTGTAAGCATATTGAGTGCCTGCTGGGTGCCAAGCTATTGGAGAAGCAAAAATGAGACGGATTCAATTTAAAAGTTTAAATGGCATCCAGTAGACAGACAAGAAGCAGGTATAGAGCTAAACAGAGACACATAGAGCCTGATAGGTATTAAAATACTTGCATAGCAAAAAGGAAAGAGAGAAAACTTTACCTTGGGGAAGACAGAGAAGCTTTACAGAGCTAATATTTGACCTGAGCTTTGAATGCTCATGCTCAGTCGCTAAGTCGTATCCGACTCTTTGCGACCCCATGGACTGTAGCACACCAGGCTTCTTTCTCCATGGCATTTCCCAGGCGAGGATAACTGGAGTGGATTGCCATTTCCTCCTCCAGGGGATCTTCCTGACCCAGGGATTGAACCCACAATCTCCTGCATTAGCATGTGGATTCTTTACCACTAAGCCACCTTGGTGGCCTGGGCCTTAAATAAAAGCAGAAACTGAAGAAATTCAGGAAAGAGAGAGAGATGGAGAAAGAGGGAGATAAAGAGGATCCTGGGTCAAAGGAACAATACGCACGGAGGCACAAAGGCACATTGATCTTAAAAATTCTCAGTATCCCATTTACCTTCTCCTAATGATATCCTATGGCTGCTAAGTGACCTTATTTCCTGGTAAACCGTAAATATGAATGATTAATGGAGGTTTGTGCTTTGGAAACACAGTGACATTTGTAACATCTGCACTATTTCCAGTGTGGGACAAACAGTGCAAAAGTGAGTTCCTAATAGCATCCTCTGAGAATTAGCTTTTTAAACAACAGACACGGAGATTATGCCCGAGGAAGCAATGGAATAATTAGGTTTGTGATCTCTTGGGTCTAATGGAACAAATCACTTCCTTTTTTTTTTACTTGAGATTAGCCCAATGATTAAACCATACTTTTTAAAATGTCAGAATATTATCCTACCCTTTCTGAATGAAAGTTAAAGTGTTAGTCTTTCAGTCATATCTGACTCTTTTGTCACCCCATGGACTGTAGCCCACCAGGTTTCTCTGTCCATGGGATTCTCCAGGCAAGAATACTGTAGTGGGGTGCCATTCCCTTCTCTGCGTAATCTTTCCAACCCAGGGATCATACCCGGGTCTCCTGCATTGCAGACAGATTCTTAACCATCCGAGTCATAAAAGGAACCCATATGACCCTGAACACTGTATAATCTTCTCCAGGGTTATATGAAAATGGAAAATTCATTTTTTTAGAAGTTAAAAGAGTAATCATCACAAATTTATTTATTTTATCTGTTTGAGTCTATCATACTTAGTAACTTGGTTTGTCTTATTTTTATAAAAGTAACCTGCATCCCTGTATAATGACATTATGCCCACATGTTCTTTCTCTTTGTGGTTATCATCACCAGAAATAGTTTTCCTATTTGTCACCTCAATACACATCAGCGTTCTCAAACCAGAGCCATCTATTCTCAATACCTAGAATTCTTTACTACATCAACTTTAATCAGAAACAATCCTCTTGAAAATACCATCAATAATTTTAACTTCATTCCAAAATATTGGGTTTAAACCTGGGAAATACAAAAACATGGAGCCTAAAGATTTTAAATATTAATAAGCTAGTGTTTAAATTTTATCTATTAAATTAGAATAAAGAGGACTAACTCTAAAGCATAAAAGGATGAATTTAGAACATGGGAAGTTGCCTTTACAAACCAGAGCCTCAAGATGGAAGGAACCTCCATGAATATATCAATTCATTGATGTTTGGGGATAATTTATTAAAGCAGCAAATACTACTATAACTAATCTACCAATTCTACTTGAAAGGATTAGTGAATGATTCAAAGTTGACTTCTTAGTCATATATGAGGTTTTTCAAGGAATTCATATAGGAAAGATGGAAGTGGGAAGGGATGGAACATTTGTATATAGAAAATAGCATGAGCAAAGGTATAAGAATCTGAAAACATGATCATATAAAGTGTTTTCAGTCATTCAGTATGATATAGTATAATATCACATATGTTAATTATATATTACTTATATATGTACTTTTAGATGTATAATATAATGATTTGATATTAGTATATGTTTCTTAATGATCACCACAATAAGCCTAGTTAATGTCTGTCTCCATACGTGTTACATACATAGCAGTGTTTTTTAAATATAACAGAAAAAATGGAAAAGAACTAAATATTACTCGTAGGGAATAAATTGTGGTCTAGCCACA